TCTCTTGTTAGAAGAAGACTGTCGAAGAAGACGCTCTCTCTCTCTCTCTCTCTCTTGTTCGTCGAAATAAAGGAAAAATCCAAATATTAAACGAATCTATTTGTGCAGTCGTACTGTTGTGATGATTTTGCTGTGTTACGTTATTGTAGAGCGAGAACCTCATCATGACTCGTTCATTCAGTCACGGACAATGTTACGTGTCGCTTCCTCATATCAATCAATCGCACGTTTCGCAAAACACGTTCCTACTTGTCTCGCAGAATCGTTTCACGAGAACGTCAACGCCGGAGGGTCCGCGCCGCTCCGCCTTTTGCTTTCGTAAGGCCATCGATTCGGTAAAAGATCATTACACTTCACGTGTGCATGTCTCATCAACGACCAGCTTTCACCCGGTAAATGCATACGTCGGTCAGTGCTTTCCATTCGGAGTGCAAGGTCGACGTCAGCCAAAATCCAGCACCTTCTGGCCGAACAGTTTAATTTTTGATGTTGTTGAGATAAAGAGGAAAAATATGAGGAAGTAATAGGTATTCATCTTTATCTCGTAACATTAAATGAATTTCACATGTTACATTTGCTGTTTTAAATCTGCTGCACACACACACACACACACACACACACACACACACACACATGCGATGATAAATTATATGGGCTAAAGAATATAGTATTCAAAATCTTCTCTTATAATTTTCTGAAAGAGATAAAAAGATATCTTGCGAGGTTGAGTTTTAAAGATACACGCAATTTTTTTATTATTAATTCTGTTTAATAAATTATAATGTACGTTAGAATTTTGTCAACTTTTTCATAGTTTGAAATAATGTAAAAATCTGTAGTGAAGTTCAAAAACTTATATTACAGATAAAGAATAAAAATTTTACATTGTGATGAAAGCTTAATACTATCTTAATGCTTTACATTGTTATCTTTTCATATTCCTATCGCAAGAAAAGACATTAATCGTTACATCTTCATTATTATCATGAATAACCGAGAGATTATTTTGACTTGTCAACACTGCCGGGACGTCACACCCACTTTTGGCATTTGTAAGTTGATCTTGCCTAATGCGTTACGAGGATTATGTAAGCGTAATATTGTCTGACGAAGGTGAGAGCAATTTAGTAACCGAGGTCTAAGATAGGTGAGAAAAATGGTTTACGCGCGAGAATCAATGGGCCTTGGGCGTAAACTAGGTCAATGTGATAATAAAATAGTAAGACATAGGCAGAAAATAAACCGCTTTATGAACTTGACACTTTTCTTTGCGATGATATCGCGCGTCGTAACATTTTCTGCTCGGTACATTTTGATTAATTTCAACTCAGTGGCCACAAATACCCTTTCAACGTTCCATTGCTAGAGAACGCTTAATCTAGTTAAAATTAAACGCGTCATAACTATTAACGTGTTTACTTTTGCAGTTTAACAACTCTGGAGAACTTCTATAATCTTCTTAGAACTTTAACATTTCGCTGAAATCTGAAAATTTTTTTTATCAAATTCTTTACTATATGTATATATATTCATTTTTACATAAAAAATTTGAAGTTTGCTTGTCTCGTATCAAATGAGACTAACAAACTCATACACGTTACAGTTCTAATATTTATATTCAAAAATTATATTTTTCTTATATATTATCACGCAAGAGTTAACGTAAAGGATATTTATAATTTCTTCGATTAAAATCGAATACATTTCGAACAAAATCGAAAATGTTTCATTTCATAAGCATAAAATGTTACAATATATTCGACGTATGCACAAATATACTCGTAACAGATATTCTTTGCTCAGAAAGGCGACGATCTGACAGTCATCTAATCGGCCTCGCAACATCTTGCGAGTCACCGTGGCTACAAATTTGGCGAGACTTTCGCGCGTCAGCAGGCGCTTCGCGTACGTATATTCATTCATACTGAACGCGTGCGCGTAAAACGCGCTTTCTCCCCATCTAAGGACATTTGTTTGAAAAACCTCGCGCCAGTTTTTTCCGCGGCTCGTTTCGCGCGCGATCGCCAGATAAATTTTCTATTTATTAAACATACAATCGTGTGTAACGATCCGGCTTCCGGATAAGAGCTCACCACTTGTCGCAGCTGTTGCTGGCAAGTACGCATGTGCACGCATATGCGTGAGCCCTTTATAGGCGTGAAAGTCGTTGATCACGATCAATACTGTATGTAGTTCCATCTATCCATTATTTCAAAGTTTTTTTTTTTAGTGTCAGTTGCAACAGATCCTAATAATGAAAAAATAATCCACCCGTGTGAAGCTGGTCTCCCAATATTAAAAAATCGATTTTTTTTCTTGACGCATTCGTTTGCTCATTGTTTGCTCACGAATGCTCAGTTGGAATTTTCGTTTGCTCATCCTTAGTTCAAAAGATACAAGAAAATTAAGTTTTGGTATCGAATTAAAAAATTGTTTTCTTCATGCATTCGTTTGCTCACAAATCTTTTGAACTAAGGGTGAGCAAACGAAAATTCCAGCTGAGCATTCGTGAGCAAACGATGAGCAAACGAATGCATGAAGAAAAAAATCGATTCTTTAATATTGGGGGGCTAGGGTGAAGTTGGCCCCCCAAAACATAATTTTCGTATATATCTTTCGAACCAAAGGTGAGCAAACGGATATTTCAACTGAGCATTCGTGAGCAAACGATGAGCAAACGAATGCATGAAGAAAAAAATCGATTCTTTAATATTGGGGGGCCAGCTTCACACCGGTAAATAATCTTTGTTTGGTAGGTTATGTTATGCAGCAAAAAGGAAAGCGTGCTTTTACGTAAAATGTTCCAGACATACCGAAAAATAGAAACCAAATCAACAACTTGAAAAATAAGTCTTACTAAGAATAAAATTTTATACTATAATAAATATATCGTCCAACAAAGAGAATGTAAATAAATTTTTTTTCAAGTTATCGATCGGTACATCTGGGACACTGTTACATGAATTGACCTCACCGAAGAGCAACTCTCTTCGGAAAGTTAATATCTTTCTACAGAAAAATATCGGCATACGGACGACCGGATAATAGCCTGCTTTCGGTTCGTCACGCGCGATAGAGCAAACTCCAAGGAGCTTATCGATGGAGTGCAACCGCGGCCGATCGATCCATTATTCACCGCTTCTCAAAACCAAGATCGATACACGATATGATACACAAATCAATGTCGAAACTCAGCGTCTACAAAGACACGATCGATTTGCCATGATATCATCTCTTTTGTGGCGTCGGTACATTTTACACGTGTATGAATCCGATCGATTCTCCTTTCGCGATATCGCACGGATCGATCCACGCGATCTCGGTCGACCGAGCCGGATATAATTGATTTAGACTTCGTCGAAATGCTTTTAACTCTGATTTGCGATGCGTGCTTCTTCACCAGAGTTACGGTGAAATACTTCCTCGAGAGAGCAGCCTAGTAATACTCCCACTCGGTAATTCGCACAGATTGATCTTCATGATCACCGGCCGACTCGTAGATTCGCTGCGCTTATTTCGGATCAGCTGTATTTAATCCACGTGGTACGCGATGGTGAAGTCAGAATGACATGATTGTAGGTCATTGCACTCCGACCGCTCATACAATAATACGGCTGATTATCTCATCGATGTGCGAAACAAAATATTCGTAGAAATACGAAGAAATGCAGAAACACTTTTCAGTTATGATCTGTCAGATAGATTTTTATATATTTAAAAACATCCAATTCATTGAAAGTATAACATCGAATTGTCTCTAAGTTACAAATGACATTTGCAATAATAAAAAAAATGATAAATTTCAAAAGTTTTTCAAATTACTACGTGTATATTGTTATTCATGACAAACATCGTTACGATACATTCAATTGCGTACTCCAACGCGCGCTTTCCAAAGTAATTAACTACGAGTTTATCCCCGTCACGTGACAATCGTTAATTGCTATTCCATTCGTTTACCCACTGTTCCACGGATAGTCGTAGGAATAGCACGGATGCTTTCGTCCAGCATAGCAATGACCATATGTGCGAACGTGTCATAAAAGCCATAATAGTGGCTCGATATATCATATACCATAGATTACCAAGCTAGAATATCAATGAGATGGGGTTAACATATTTTATGTTTCTTACTTTAAACCCTTAAAAATCTAGCAAATATAAGCAATTTTATAATAGTATTATTCAATATGTGCATCTATTTATATATTAATTTAGGCTGTTTTTTTTTTAAGGCCACATAGTGTGTGCTAACATAAGTGTCATTCTTGTCTTCTTGGCTAGAACCAGAATAGGGATAAATATAGAAATAGAACGACGTTTTCGAAAGAAAAGCAGTCCGAGTTTAATATATAAATAGATGCAAATAATAAATAGCGTGATTCTCAGACGCGATAGACAATAATTGCTATATTTGTTCGAATTTAAAGTTTGAGTTAGGAAGTAAATAAAATATGTCAGCGGCTGTCTAAAACAATATACGTATATTATATATCAAACAAACGGTAAACATTAATAACATAGGAAATCCGCGCGCACGAAATCACTAAAAAAACTTTTATAGGACGTGACATTCGAATCGTTCCACTGTGACCATGGAATTCTAAGAAATATTTAAATAGCTACCCTCGTCTCCTCTAACTGACCTCCAGCCTAATCTGACATTTCCGTTTTGAGATCTCCTCTAAATCTCATCGTCTATTGGGAAATTCCCGAGAGAGCGAAAGATGCGACGAGAACTTCAAAAGATAGAAATTGTGAAGAAAAGGAAAATAAGTGCAGAGAGTTAGAGCAAAAAATAGTGTAAAAGTAATTCCTGCGAATCTCTTTAGAACGAGAGTTACGTAAAATGCGACAATCGATAGTAATACAATTTGGCTGAATTCCAATAAGATTAATTGAACTCTCATTGAAATGCCTCGTCACATCTCCGCGCATCCGCGCGTTTGCATAACGCTTCCCGTACGTGCTTTGTATCGTGTAATTCGATGTGTACTCACGCTTTTGCCGTGGCTCGTGCTGTGGTGCGTATGATGCGTGTCGAGTTTCATATTGGCGCAACGATTAAGGGCGTGCAGACGTCGGAAAAGACTCTGCAGCGAGTCGGCCTCGAGGAAAGGGTGGTCCTTGGCTACGCCGGAAACGTCAATCGGAAACTGATAGTCTGAAACACGAAGATAGTGGATCGTCATTCTTCGTTTCACGCGTTCGATTATCACGGGATAGGATAAGGTATCGTGCTTACGCGCGTATTTACGTAAACGAAAAGTACATCGCAGCGATATTTGATCGTCAAAAACGTCCATCATATCAACCGCGTTTGTTTGTTGTAACGGCGCATTCAGAGTCGTTCAATTATTATCGAATGCGCTAAACACGTACAGGTATACGCCATGAATGGCCTAAACCTATGTCCATTTAGTCCATGGGCATTAATCTCCTCGTGAGTTCGAAGAGGGTTCATCGCATTGATTGTGCAGTTGTTGTGCCGCTCAATCTTCTTCTTGTATCTTCTTTTGTACAAAAATTTAAATTCGAATAAAAAAGTAAAAATGCACGTTTCATTTCTGTACGATTATTATTACTCCACTAAATTCTATAATGTCTAAAATTTTTTTTAAATTTCTTAAAACATGTAAATTTAATTGAATTCAACTGAAATGTTATGTTTGTATAAACAAATATGCTAAATGCATATAGAAGTATACTGTGAATGAACCAAATCCATATCCATTTAGTCCAAAGACATTAATCTTCTCGTGAATTCAAAGAAGGCTCATCACATGATGATTGTACCGTTGACATGCCGCTCAATTCTTCTTGTATTTTTTTTTTTTACAATACGTTTACAGTTTGAAATAAAAAAAAGATAGCAACACATATTTTATTTCTATATGACATTATACTAAATTTTATATGTCTAATTATAATTAATTCCTTATATTATCTTGTAAATTTAATTAAAATTCAATCCAATAAGGCATTTTTGTCGAATACGCTAAATGCGTGCAGTACGCTGTGAATGAACCAAATCTATGTCCATTTCGTCCATGAACATTAATCTCCCCGTGAATTCGGAGAAGACCCATCACATGATTATACCGTTGTCGCGCTGTTCAATTCTTTTTGTATTTCTTTCACAAAACGTTTGAATTCAAGATAAAAAAGTAGAAATGCGCGTTTTATTTCTACATAATTTCTACATTATAATATGCTATTAAATTTTATGTCTAAAATTTTTTCTATAATTAATTTCTTATACTATCTTATAAATTTTATTAAAATTCAATTAAATGACGGATTTTTAATATTAAACAGAAATATTTCTTTGTACTTATTTTATCACGAGAGAAAAAAATTAATAAAATTATGTAAAAAAAAAAAAATTGAAATGTAAAACTATACGAAAACTTACAAACTCTCTGTAGCTATGTGGCTATCTTGCGTTGCACACGAAATTTGTTAAATGTTGTGGTATGACTTCGGAAAATAAACGCTATGCTACGTCTCTAGAATTTCTTCGTAAATATGTCATGATCACTGTGATCTTTCGTAAAAGTTCGGAAGATTTCTGTCACGATTTGCGCAACGTTGGCCTAGATCTTCTGAACTAGATCTTGGATCTATAATCTTTAACCGGGATTCGAGAATCGATTCGACCCTTAAAGTAGGACGGTTCTTTAATAAGCAACAGCAAACGTTTTCGTGGGACCAACAATTTAATTTCTCATGAAAGAGTGTATGTACGTTAGTTATATCGAAAATATTATTCCACCTCATTTATCCGTTCGCAAAAAATACCAAAGAGAGAGGGCATTGCCGTAATGCTCCATTAAGGAAATTAGAGTTTCTCGTAAACAAGCTTGGTAATTAAAACAAATTCCGTCTACTGTGGGAACTATAAGTGCGCGTATTTCAGCCGCGTTTATTTTCACTTATTAAAGCGTAAAGATGATTAATGACTTCGAGCAGTCTCTAATGTTACTTGATAGCGAATAAATTAACCGGTTATCTATCGACGTTGTACACTTATTCGCTCCTTCTTCGAAACGCTTAAACGCGCATTCGTATTTTCCAATCGTTAACATTTCTTCACGCCGTGCTAGAAGTTTTTGCAGTAACCGAGTAACGTACTTCGAATACGATAAACGTGTTGTCTAACGACTATAAACTGCCGTAGCAATTTTCATCTCAGGTTCACATTATCATTCACCGCATACGGTGATTTGACATATACTGAATGCGAAACACGCAAAAATTCTCACCGAGAAATTTATTGAGCTTTCCGAGGTTATATAAAAGTGTAAAATATGTATCTCGAGACTAAGATATGGCAAGCAGTTCCGCATCCCAATAAAGAGTGTCAATCGATGAGAATACAGAATGACGCTTGTGTCAATGTTATTCGATGAAGAATGATTTGATTCATTGCACACATGTGCATATCTTTATATTTATATCTTTCGCCAGCTACGCATCACAAGTCGATATACTTCCTACCGTTCGCTAAGGATTTTATGATGTTATCGATAGATTCGAGTTAATGATCGGCGTTCGCTTCCTGGATATACTAGTTACAAACTAATCATGTTTTATTGGGAAACTCACAGACCATGTATACGTTGCTCGTCTGACGAATCAATTAACATGTGAACTTTCACTCGTCGGCATCACGATAATGACCAGCAGCAAATACCGATCTGTTTGTTTGCTGCTGTAAAAAAAAAAATGGTTGCTATTGACGCATGTTAATCCTGTAATGGCAAGGTGGATTTTCAGACAGCAACCTCGGAGAAGCGAGGTCGGATTTGAATCCAGTCTTTTTCATCTAATAAAATATAGGTAAAAGAAAGTAAATAATAACACATAGTCTATGTTTAATATTGAGTAATAAAATGTCTTTTCATCTATTTATTTTTATTTACAGAAAAAATACAATACTTTACTAATTGACTTCAAATAATTGCAATAAGACAACAAACTGTTTGACTGACGAAGTCGTAAGTCACACCCTGACCTTGCCATTAAGGGATTGAGTAAATCTCGTCTGCCTTGTGGAAGATATTTTATGTTTCTCTTTTTCGTTCCGTCCTTTCCCATTCTCATTTTTCACACACATCTTCTTTACCAAGGTCAAAAAAAGGATCAATTTTATAATGGCAACTCGTTGTCGTTCGCGAGACAGAAAAATTCACTCGGCGAACGACTTGATAAATTTATCTGGCGGCGTATCGGGCCAAGAATGGCGATGTGATCGATCGGGATCACATCCTTAATTTATCACGCCGATCGTCAGACACGACACCCACATTCGGTCGCGTCGCTGGAATTCCACGAAGGATCGGTCGAGGAGATCCTCCGTGGACACGACCCGCGGTAATATCCTTGCGAGGATCACGTATGTGCGCGTGTGTGGCCCGCGTGTGTGCACGCGAGTCGCGTGATTCCCGTATATACGTGTTCGATGAGCGGTATCAGTATCGGTATTTATATCGTGCCTTGCGCCGACCGACTCGGGTTCAACTGGGTCAATTAGCTACTATTCATAGTGCGCTTCGATCGCGAGAACTCGTCTGAGTTATGATCAATCGTACACTTTGCACGTGGTACCATGCACGTATATATACGTACGTTTGTACCTAAACACGCACGCACGTGTGCGTGCATAAATTCTCGCGTTCGCCAGATCTGCCGACGTATTAGAGCTGTCAGTTTAGAGCTGATAGTTTCAAAGCTTTTACAATCATGTATTCGATATTACTCGAATGTATAATATGATCTCGAAAAGAAATCATCTCTTTTAAACATGTATAGATGTTAACGAATGTTTTACGGTGACTTTGTGGTAGTTTATTTCAAATCATTTTTCCTGATTGTTCCGCGTAAAATTCACGAGAATTTGTGAGTACAAGTTTATATTTTCAGTATAAGATACGTTTAAAGAGAGTTGCACAATCGCGTTGCCGCAACGAAGGGAACGTGTTTATATATATGATAGTTTAAGAGAATCGACCTTATCGTTTACCAAGCTGTAGCATTTCTTCTTCCCACTTTTGGCATCTGGGTCGCTGTGGCGGTTACGTCGCTCGGAATCCGTTTGTAGGCTGCGGCAGTGGACCGAGCCGCGCAGTCCGCACGCACAAATTAAATTAAAGTTTTATAAAGCCACTTGTCTCCCACGCGCATTGCAAAAAGTGAAAGTCCCATACCGTCTCATATAAGTCCCTCTCACGCCTAGTATCCTAATTGCTCACGCCAGTGTTATGTAATTATATTATCGATACCACTGCTACGGCTGTTAGTATTAGGTAATTGAAGTGAATGTGTTGATATAATACGATAAATATCGATCGATCGTCCTTAACCCTTAATAAACGTTGCCAGCATAAATACTTATAGTCACGCAATACGCCGCGCCGCCTTTCCTCACGTGATTTTTATATTAAAGAAACTTTAAAGAAGGTATGTGTCGAAGTTTTAAATTCTAAGCTTTTAAGTTGTATTAAAATATTACAATAAAAAAATACATTTTGTGATATTAAAAATAATTTAAAAATTGATTTTACGAAATTAAATGTGTTGTTTTCCAATACTGAAATATGTATCTAATTGTATTTAAAAGAAAACATTGCTATAACCAGGCCAGCGCATCAACGAACCTAGTGGTTTGAATAGCAACCGTTGTTCGCCAGATGCCTTCGTATATACATGAGGGGCATCAGCTGTTCGCGTCGTGAATTCTTCGAGGGCGTAAATGCAACTTTGCAGTTAGGACGGCCCGCTGGCCGGTTTCGTGCCATTCCTCTTCCCGTTTTTGGCATGTGGGTCGCTGCATCGCGCGTCGCAATGTCTCCTGTCCGGCTGCATTGCGCCGTGACATGTTTATGGGAGCCACGACTCGAGCAACGGTCAGCTCTACTGACTCACCGTGCGAAACCTAACATCGTTCGAGATTCACGTTTCTAACGAGTCAAATAGGCGCACGTATGTACACGTATACATGTACACTTGTATACCACACGCACGACGACTCTGATCAACAAATCAAATGGGAGGCGCGCAAACGTGTTCGCCGGTATTAATTTATCACGACGATTAAACGCCCGAGTCAGCTTGCGGAGAATTAAGGCTGTATTTCGACCCCTTTAGCGAGGTGCTCCGCGC